ACGTGCCTGGAGATGCTTGGCGAAGGCGACAGCTTTGCTTGCGACACCATGACGACAGCCAACGGCCGCGTCATCAACTACCGCGTGAGCCAAACCGAGACCACCAAGTGGTGCAAGGAGTTTGGTGGTTTCTACATTCTGAATGTGACGTCTGGGATCCAAGAGGTGCTTGTCGCCAACACGTCTGGCGCGCCTGCCTTTACAAGTATTCCGTTGACGGTTGAGACGCCCGCGTTTAGCATCAGCTCGCTCATCGGATGCTTTGCCAACATACACATCGGCGGAACCAACGTCGTGACAACGACGTCAGCGTGGCACGGCGACACGCTCGGCCCGTGGACAGCGCGGTCGACGCGCACGGCACACGCCAACGCGGTGACGAGCAACGGCTCGCTGCAGCGCGTCTGGACGCACCACTACTCGGAGGGGGACGTCACGATCGTTCGGTTGATATACAAGGACGTCTTTCGCCTCTGCATTTTGGCAATCGTCATCTACTATCGGGTCTCGTCGATCTACTATCCGATTTGGCTCGCGTTCCGGCGCCAGCACCAGCCGTTCTTGGCGTGGATCTGGCAGCGCCACTTGGGCCTTGTCTTGCACAAGCGAGAGCGCCACAACCTCTTCATCCTCTTGCTTCTCTCTCTCGAAGCCGTCACGAGCGTGGAAGATATCGTGCTCTACTGCCAGCACATTGTCTACACCAATGGCTCGTCGTACGGCTCACAGCTGCTCAGCTTGATGTCCATCATGCGCATCATCTGGCCTTGCGCGCTGCTTCTGCTGTGTCTCTCGCGTCTCGCGGGGCTTCTCCTTGGACCAGCGTACGTGTTTGCCGTCTCGGAAAACATCTTTCTCCTTGGCGCCCCGGTCGTCTGGGTCTACGTTCCGCTCTACGTGACCAACCAAGGCATGCGGCTCATCTCTGGCTACCGCTGGACGGGCGTCGTCGTGCATCACTACACCAACTCGATCTTTAATGCGTACACGCGGCAAATGAGCTTTGCTACGCTCTACTGGCACCTCTTTGGCGTCTTTACCCTTGTGTCGCCACTCGTGATATTCGGGCTCTCGGCCGTCTGGCGGCGCTCGACCAAATCCAGCAGCATTGCTGCGTACCTATTTGCGCCGACCGAGCACCACCAGAACAGTGTGCACATCCAGCCCGCGCCGCCGCACGCGTCGCTCGAGGCAATCCTTCGCGACTCGACGTTCTCGGTACCACCAAGCATTGCGCGCCAGATCACGCGCGCCAAGCTGCCAGTAAAGAACTACTGCGAGGCGGGGAATCTCGCCGCCGACGGCCTCGTGTGCCTCGTCTACGGCGAGCTCCACGTGCTCGGCCTCACCGAGTGGGGCTTGGTTTTCCCTGTTGAAGACGCCGACGGTCACATTGCAGTCCTCGATGGCAACAGCGTAGCGTACCGACAGGACGTTACCATTGAGCGGCTCCTGGCGACGGCGTCGTCGCCACTGGTTCTCGGCATCCCGGATCTGCAGTAGTCAACATACTGTTCCTAGTTGTCCGTTTATATAACTATCGTGTCAACCGATGCGGTGAAAGAGTGCGAGCAGCTGGTGCTCGATGACGTCCAGGTGCGCGGGCGCACTCAGCCGGTGATCGCCACCGGGCACCCACGTCAGCGAGACGGGTGCGCCTTGCGTGCCTTGCGTCGATGCCCAGTTGCCAATCAACTCGACGCCAACGTCCGAGTCGTGCGTGCCATGGACGAGTGCGACGGGGCACGCCGCCTTGCGTGGCAGCGGGTGCGCGGCTATCGAGTCGACGAGTGGTCGGTAGATCGGGTAGTACCCGGCGGCTGCATACGTCGATGGCCGGCGATAGTACTCGACGCCATTTTCGTCGGATTCTGTCGACCCATTGGCTTTGGCGGCTGTAAACTCGAGAAAGAACCGCTCCAAGCCGAGGCTGGCACCGACGCCGAGAATGCCGGCGATGCGAGTTGGCAGAGCCGAAGCGACAAGAAGAGACAAGAAGAAGCCCATGGACGAGCCGATAAGGACGACAGGTCTCTCGCCACTGCAGCGCTCGCACGCGACGACTGAGTGCAGGTCGTCTCGCCACTGCGTCAGTGTGGCGTTGCGCATCGGTGTTGCTGGCGCGGGACCGTGGCCGGCGTGGTCGTAGGTGAGAAAAGTCGTGTGCAGCTCCTGTGCGACAAAGGCCGAGAGCCGCGACACCTTGCGCGACGCCGTGTGCGACGAGTTAAAGCCGTTGACAAAGAGCACCGACGGCCGCGTCGACGCCTGCCCGACGCGCACCAGGCGCACGTGGCTGCACGCTGACGTTGTGAAAGTGTCTCATAAACCTTTTTGTTTCGATTTTCAATATTATATATGAGAGGTTTTGACGCTCTGCCGGCTTGCCGACGCCACTCGGTCAGCCAAATCAAGTTTGAAAACGTATTCGCCCAAATGTACTGGGGTCTTAGAGGGTACGTTGGAGCCCTCAACGCGCCATCTCATGTCGGCGGGTGAGGCGTACAGCGCGCGCAATCCTCAGTTTTATAATTTTGGCGTGCGCCATTTTTACCATATTTAGCCACATTGGAATGCGTGGGTGCTGGATTCGGGCCACAAGTGAGCCTCCTTTGCTCTGTACGCACAATAAAACCACAAAACACATGAGTTCGCTCACGGTTTTGACAGCTGAACGGCGCTAGCACTATTTCTATATTGCTAGGGTCATAGCAGGTCGTATTTGAACCTCTGGGGCGTTAACGAGCTCCCAGCCCTAGACCCACTCGACCCACCTGGCCACCACTCGACCTTTTCTCTCCTAACTCCGAGGGCTGCACCGATTTTTTTGTAAAAGCCTAGTCAAATCGGGTAAAGGTTACGCTGTAAAATCTCCAATGCGGATGCAAGCGCAAGTCTGGCTTTCATTATTACAACGGATCCGGACGGTAATGCCACGTACGACGGCGACGCAGAGCAGCCTAGCGTCGTATCCGCAGCCGACGCATTCCAGCTGCAGCTACGTTCGCCGGTGCCTCTTTGAAGGCTGCACACTCGACACGTGCGCGACCTTGTGCGCTCGCCACGCTGCCTTCTCGGCCGAGTGCATCGTGCCAGACTGCACCAAGTGGACGCACCGCAACGAGCTTTGCCGCCGGCACCGCCAAACATACATGTAATACCGCTGCAGACAATGTACATGTTGTCTGTTATCACGCCGCTGTTAGACTAGACATCGCTCAACTTGGTGCGGAGCTGGTGGAAGAGCGTGACGCCGCGATGCAGGACGGCACTCTTCCACGCACCGTCCCAGTGCACATAAAAGGCGTTGCGGAGGGCGTTGGCGGCTTCGAGGCGCGTCTCGGGCGCGTGGTGCGTCGCTGCGTTCTCTTGGCGCAGACTCAGGAGGACGTCGATCATGTTTTTGGTGCCAAATTCTTGGGTCACGCCGAGGCGCACGGGCGCCTCCGCGAAGAGCGAGAGGTACCCGTCGACCGCGAACCCGCCGGCGTCGCCATAGCCCGAGAGCGCGGTTGCGTCCGCGTTCGAGTCGCTGATTGCATCGTGGTCGGGGAAGAGCGTCTTGAGCATCGCTGGCGTCACCGTCAGACTCGGCGACGTCACTTGCACCGTGTCGTACCCCCGCGGCCCGAGGCCTGTGTGCACGTCCAGCATCGCGATCCGGCTCACATTGGTGAAGTGCGACTGGAAAAAGGCCGTCAAGAGGCGGTGGCTGGCCTGGAGCTCGTGGCCGCCAAAGAAAATGCCTTGTGGCTCGTGGTACGTGCCCGAGACGATCGCTCGCTTGACGCTCTCAAACCCATGGCGCAGCGCGTGCGTCAGCAGCCTACGCACCCTCGTATGAGCACTCTCCAGCCACAGGCATGTGTACGCAGGCAAAAACGAAGTGTCGGCCCAGTGCGCGGCGTGGCGCGGGTTGAGCGCCGGCGACAATGACGTGTAGCCTACGGCGTTCGGGTCGCTCGCGCGCTTGGCCGCAAACGCCTCGGGCGTCAAGTAGTTGCGGTTGAGGTCGACGTTGGCCTCGTTCACGCGCCGGAGCTAAAGCCAAAATGCAACAATGACAGCAGTCGCAATGCAGTACCTTGGCGAACCCAAAGGGATTCACAGCGTGCACAAAGACGACGGTCGGGCCCGATGTCAGCGACGTCGACGCGTCACCCAGGAGCTTGGCCTGAATCGCGCTGCCGGCAAACCCCTCGACGCCGTGCGTGCCAGAGAGGTGCACGAGCAGCGCTGTTGGGTCTGCACCCCGCAAGACGGCCACGTCGATCGTGAGCTCGGCATTGGCGCCGGGTAGCGGCAGCGTATAGAGCTCTGCGTCCGCCGCTGCAGCGCGGGCCCGGAAGAGCGCGCGCGCCTCGTAATAGTCGTTGGCAAAGCACGCGGCCGTCGATGGGTCCATCGTTGGCGTCGGCGCCCAGTGCTTCATGAGCGCCGCACTCAGCGCGACGGCACCAAGTGCCCACAGCAGAAGACTCCAGCTCATCATGTTGACACACTATTGGACAGTGAGCTAGTAGCAATGACGATGTCGACGAGAACCCTTGAACCAGCTGTTTGTCGTGATCTCAGACGGGGCGTCATCATGTGATGTGTTGACGCTCGGGAGCGTGACGTCATCACACCGTCATCCTGCGTCTCTTCGGATACCAAGGACACTGCGTTCCACCCTTGCAAATCGTGAATTGTTACTACTAACTACTAAGAACTAGACGCGGGGGACGTCCGAGTACAGCTCTGGCTCGTCCATGTCGTCGTCCAGCGCAGAGATCGTGCTCAAGCCAGCGTCCGGGTCTTCGCCGCGCAGGAGCTTCTCGACGCGGTCCAGGCCCAAGAGCGCCGACGACAGATTGCTGTTGAGACTCAGCGCGCGGTGGTAGTGCTGCAGCCCGACGTTGTACTCGCGCTTCAGAACGTAGACGTCGCCGAGCTTGGCGAAGAGTACGTCGCGCGGCGTCTTGGCCACGAGCCCTTCGAGCCTAGTCCTCGCAGCTATAACCTTTGCATCCACTAAAGAGGCCGTACGTGGTGATGGCAGCTGCAAGATTGTCGTCTTGAAGGAAGAGGTCCACGAGGCCCAAGTGCGCACGCAGCGCATCCGGGTTGGCCGCAAGCGCCTTCTCGAACGTGCGTCGCGCCTAGTTGGCAGCATAGTATCAACTTGATACGACAAAATACCTCGTCGCGGCGGTCGGGCCGCAGCGAGAGGACGCTGCCGACGAGGACCAATGCGCGGGCGCTCATCGGCGCGAGGAGCAATGCGAGGCGCGCAGCGTGCATCGCGTCGAGGTACTTGTCGTCGCCCTTGAGGCAGAGGTCGCAGTAACCCTCCACGAGCCCTTCGTACGCCTCGAGGCTCCGCCCGCAGCGACTGCCGCTTGCAAACGCACTCACCGCGTGCGCGGATCTGTCCATCGCGAGGAGGAGCCGCCCGCGCGCCACGTAACTCCGTGCAAACGTCGGGTCCACGACAATGGCCTACCCCAATATTTGTATCAAGTTGATAGTTACGTGTATCCCACCCGATCGACGAGCTGGAGCGCGGCGGTCGTGTCGGTCTTTAGCTCGCTGTAGCAGGCGGCCGCCAGCCACGGCTCGGGGCGATCCATCGAGATGCTGAAGAGATCTCGGACCAAGCTACCCATGTCGTTAGATGACAGCCATCGACCAAAACGCCCACTTGTTCAAGGTCGGCGCACTCCCCGCGTCTCGCAGCAGGCGCGCGTACATGTCCATGTAGTCGAGGTTCGTCGCGTCCAGCTGCCGAGCCTACGAGACCGTTCGTCCTTCGCCGTTTAAGGGAGCCGTACGCGAGCAAAGGTTGCGAGCGCGAGGTCGGGCCACTCGAGGTCGGCTTGGAGCTTGGCCTTCTGCAGCGTGCAGTGCACGTTCAGCCCAAACTGCGTCTCCAACGACGCGAAGGCCTCGAGGCCCGCTACGCAACATATGAGCCACAGAGCGCGCGAAGCTGTCCCGACCGTGGAGGCGATAGCCGATCACGTGGTTGTGGGCTGCGGGCAGCGTCTCGAGCCACTCGGTGTCGCCCGGCGGCAGTCGGTCGTAGTAGCCTTTCGATGTCGGCTTTCGCTCGACGTCCATCGGTGCAGCAACCTCGGCGAGGGCCAAGGAGGCCTCCAGCGCATACGGATTGAGCCTACACGCAGCGTTAGCGCCGCGCCTTGGAGATTGCGGCTCACTTGAGAACGGCGGCAAAGCTCTCCTCGGCGCGCCTATGCATGCATCAAGAGGTCATGACGGAAGGGCCAGTGTCTTGCACCTGTACTGGCCCTGGCTCCGGAAGAGCTTCCCGAGAAGCATGTACACGGGCAGCGTCCGCGCCGACGCGGGAATCGTTTCAAGCTACCACAGCAAGCGTCACGATCGACCTACCACATTGTGCGTACGGTCTGCAGCGCAGTCTCGACGTCCCCGAGCTCGCGGTAGCACTTGGCCATCGTGAGGCGCACGGTCGTGCCCTCGCCGGCGTTCGTCGAAGAGAGGTACATGGCAAAGTAGCGCTATCGCAAGCGTGAGCCATCACGCAGAGGCGGCGCGTCGTACGAGCGCCCGCTTGTGCTCGGCCTTGGCGACGAGCGCGTCCGCGTACAGCGCGTAGATGGCCGGGTGGTCGTCGAGCCGGCGCTGCTGCGAGCCGTGGGCCTGCGAGCAGAGGAGGCTCCCGAGCGCGGCCACGGACTCGGCCTCGCCATCGCGCAGGAGCGCGCGCATGTGGCCCGCGAGCTCGGCCAGCGATGCGTCCGTCAGCATCGTTGGATCGCCTCAATGTGATTGGCCAATACACCGTGCCCCGGGGCACACCATTCTCGCAGCGCGCTAGTCGATGTGTACAAAATGTCATTATAGCAACTGTCATAGCGCGTATGTACTATATTGCGTCAAGCATCGGCGCTTCGAGCTTGGTCGCGGTCTCAACGTCACGGCCCATCGGGTCATCCTCGCCCACCGTCTCGGCCTTGACAATGTCCTCGCGCTTGATGGCGGCTTCGTCCGTGTCGTCCGAGGCTTCGCCGCTCGTCGTGGGCTCTGGCGCCTTGGCCACGCGGCGCTTCTTGGTCTTCTTGGCCGGCTTCTTGGCGGCTTTCTTGGCTGCCTTGTCTTCTTTCGAGTTGTTGAGATCGTCGGGCGCCATGGTGCCCCGGCACGTCGATGCGCCGCAGTAGCACGTAAAGGCCGACGCGGCGGTCGTCTCCATTTGGTAGTCGTACGAAAGCTCTTCGTGCGGCTCAATGTCGCGGAGGGCCGTGATCGCGATGCGCTTGTGCTCGCCGACGTCCCAGATGAGGAGGTGGCAGTTGGGGTCGCACGAGTGGTTGATGAAGCGCGACTCGGAGCCCTTGAAGCGGCCGTCAATGTACATGCGCCCGGGCACGAGCGCCATGATGTACCAGTTGATGTCGTGGAGCTCGCCGAGCCGCTTCGTCTTCATCTCCTCGTTGATGACCTCGCCCACGTACTCGACCACGAGGTCGCCGCCCTTGATGGGCACGAGCGTCTTGAGCCCAAAGCCCTTGCTGCCGCACGGCACGACGGCCGTCGACGGGATCTTGCATTCCTGCAGCGCGCGGTTGCCGCAGCCCGGGCCGAGGTTGCAGTTGAACATCTTGGCGTTGCCGTCGCGGCCGCCGCCGACGCACTCGACAAAGATGGCGCGGTTGATGCAGTCGTCACCGCACGCTTCCGTGCAGATGCAGCGCGGGAGGTCGTTGAGGTCCGGGTTCTTGCCCGGCTTGAAGAGGTACCGGTTGCGCTTGAGCTTCTGGTACCGCGGCGGCTGCGAGTTGTGCTCCTCGAGGATGACGCGGCTGAGGCGGAAGTGCAGGAGCGCGCTTGCGTCGTCAAAGAGCGGATTGTCCTTTGGGAGGTACAGGTCTGGGAACCGGACCTTGCCGTCGCGATGCACAATGTCGCCGCCCATGTAGTGCGGTGGGACATCCGGCAGCGGGGCCTCATGCTTGCCGCAGATGGTCGCGACGTTGTTGTAGCGGGCGCTCGGCGGGATGCAGCCCGGGTGGTACGAGGTCGGGCACTTGAGGCACTGCATGAGGTCCGCGTCTTTGGTCCGCCGCGCGTCGCACGTCCAGCAGCGGTGCGCCGGACACTTGATGTGGAACGAGCGCTCGTCGACGTCGAAGCGGTGGTCCTTGGCGATGCACTCAAAGTGGTAGAACCGGCCGCAGCCTCGGAGGTCGCAGCGCAGCAGCGTCTGCTTGTACGTGCCAGGCTCGCCGCAGAGAAAGCAGTCGTGCTGCCCGCTCTTGCAGTCGTCGCAGAAGAACGGCTCGGTCGACTGCACGTCAGTGTCGTCGAGGCCGAGGCAGCACTGGTGGAAGACACGGCAGCACGGCCCGTCGCAGTACACGAGGTCGCTCAGCTGCTCGTCGTCGACCTGGACGCAGCTGGCGCAAATCTCTTTGTCCATCATGTGCGTCATTGGCTGAGGGTGGGCGAGCTCGTCGGCCGCGCGTCGAGTTGCTGCCGAAAACACAGCGTCCCGAAGCTCCTCCTCCGAGCGCCCGGTTGTAAGCCACGCGGGAACCACAGGCTTCTTGGAGGCAACCTTGGTCTTCTTGGGCGCCGGCTCGTCGTCCTCATCCTCGTCCTCTTGGTCGCTCAAGACATCGCGCGGCGGAGGCGGCTCGACCTCGTCGCCCTTTGCTGCGCGCTTCATACGCGGCCGCATGTCGGCAATGCGCTCGAGGTCAGCGATGCTGAGCACCGACTTCTTCCTGGGCTGCGGATTCTTGGGCTTGGACGCCGTCCGTGGTCGCGTGATGGCGGGCTTTGGCTTTGGCAGCGGCTTGCCGGTCGCCTCGAACAGCAGAAACTCTGCGGACGGGGCCACGCGGGACTTATTGGCGGCGGGCTTGGCGTCGCGCGTGTACATGTCGGCGGGCGCGAGGCAGTCGTAGCTGTCGTCGTAGTAGATCCGGTCGCACTTGTGGCCGTACCCATAGAAGTGTACCTTGATGTAATCGGGCTTCTTGGCGACAACGTCGGCGGCGTACCAGTGGAAGTCTTTCTGGCACTTGGCGTCGAGCTTGGACCCGACCTTGAGCTGCGCGATGAACGCGAGGTCGGTCACATGCGGCGTGAACTTGGGGTCCGAGACGTCGACCTTTGGCGGCTCATCGTCATCGTCGTTCAAGATGGAGCTCAGCGAGTTGGAACGGTGCGTCGCGACGGGGCTCGCGGGCGCGACCGGTGTGCTGGCGTCATTGCCTTCCGCGGTCTTGACGAGGAAGCCGGCCATGCCGGTCTGCTTCATCGCCGGCCGCGGCTGGTCGACGCTGCGGCTGCCATGGTCGACGTGCTCGGCCTCGTGCTCTATCATCGACCACGAAACCCCAGAGTGCTCCAAGGTCGGTCCCTCCATCACCGGTATCCGGATACTCCCAAACTCGATCATACAAACGACAAGTGTTTTTGCAGGCAGAGAGCCGTCGCATCCGGATATATTGGCGCCTTTTTTGCCAACTTGACCCGGCACCCGACGCGACGGCCCACGAAGAGGTACCGAGAGCGTTAGCCTTGAAGAAGCTCTCCCTTCGCCCGCTTTGCTGGCGTGTGGAGTGTGTGGAGTCCGACACCCGTGGGCTGGTTGGTTTGGGTTATATAGGTTAAATTTCACCCAGGTGGCGTTCAAGGCAAAGTGCCAGTTGGTCGGGATTGTTAAATTTACTGGCGCGCCGCATAGAAAAAGAGAGGGAGAAAATCATGGATCCTATTTTATCATCTTTTTTTGCGCGCGGAGCAGCGTTGAGCAGCCTTGGGCATTTCCTGGATTACGTAATCTCGCTTGGTTGATTACGTCATACTAGCGAGGTCAGTAAAACGCCAGCCAATCAGAACGGGGCATGAAACGCCAGTACTGCGCTGCATGGCCAGCTCTGATTGGACAAAATGATGGATTTCCCAGGGGCTAGATCAACGGCCATACAAAATTCAAGTTAATCATCCATGCAACATCATTGGACAAAATGGAGCGGTTTTCCATGGCCGTGAACGCCGCAATCATCATGCGGTCCACGGCGACCGCACGTGGCGTGACGTGGTTCACGACCGGCCGTGGGAGTCGCCTCAGCGACGCATGAAGCTGAGACGCGCGCCTCTGCTACCAAGCGCTACAGCCTGCGCCCCTCAACACAGCTGCTCCTGCTCAGCCCCGTGCGCTCGTCGCCTCCCGCTCTACCCTCGCTCACGGCGACTCCCGAGAAGACGCCAAGCCGCGCGTGAGCGCCAACCACCGAGGCGGCGAGCCGATCGCACAAGGTACGTAGAGCGACACCCATCGCGCTGCCCGTGCTTGCTTGCTCACATCAGTGTTGCTCTGGTAGCGCATTGTCCACCTGCGCAAGGGTCCTTCGCGGCAACCGGGCTCTTCAAGATTGACCACCGTTGGCCCACGGCAGATAGCTGGGTAGCTGAGTCGTTGACCCGCGTCGCGGACGCCCTGCGTTGGAAACGATGCCGGTAGCAAACGCGTGGTCAGCGAAGGCGCGCCGAGGTCGAGCGACAAAGCGACAACGAGACGCGATTGAAGCCGCTGGGTAGTATTGCATGTATGTAAGTTAATGAGATTGCTACATTCGTGAAGGACAAGACTGACACGAGTGCGCTCGAGAAGGCGCTGTCTAAAGGCGACATACCGGAGTCAACGGAGGCAAAAGGCGCACCTCGACAGCGTGCCGGCGGTGCCCGTGTTGCTTAGGGCTCGCAGCGCAGTGCAGCTTTGGCGCGGAATCAGCGCGCTGGCGCATTTTGATGCTATACGAGCAAGCGTCGTAGGCGCCCATTCAGGCGATGGTGGTAGCTTGGTGGTGGCGACCAGGTAGCGCGCCGCCAGCAGCGGCACGTGGGGTAGTCTGTGCTGACCAGAGCGACACATGTTGGCTATGCAAGCGCGCACCAGCGGACTATGCTAGGGAGATGACGATTTGTAGCCTCCAAGCCGGAAGAAGCGATGCCAGCGGCGCCGGCATGGGTGGCCAGTGCAGCGCCATCCGCGCGGACCGCCCGCGCGGCCTGGAGCGCCCGACGCAATAGAATGCAGTGCAGTACCCTTTGCCATCCTATAGCCAAGGTCCGTATTTGATTTCACAGGATATAAAGTCTCAATAGAGCATACGCCAGTAAACGTTAAGGGCCCAATCAAACGGCACTTCGCCGCGTTCAACACCGGTATTGCGCAATGCATTCGTAGTGTTTACGAGTCAAACCCGATCGAGGTCGTTCCGCGGTCCCGAGCGAGCTACATGCGCGGGCTACGGCTGCAAGCACTGCAGATACCAGCAGAGACGCGGTAGTCCCAGCTCCTTGCTGCCATGGCGCTGACGTGCCGAGCGAGGCCTTGGCAACTGTTTCGATTTCAGCAATTCTCAGATTTCCTGTATCTTGGCCGAACACTCCGGAATTGACCAGGAAGACGAAGGAATGGTCGTCCGCGTCGCGCTTGTTGCCGCGCTCGTCGCGCGCTGCTTGGCCGAAGACGCCCACGCTGCCCAAGTACGGGCGCAAGCGGCGGCGGTTGCGCGCTCCGTCGACGTATGACCGTTGGAGTCTCATCGGTCTGTCCTGCTGCGTAGGCCATTGAGGCGCACACACGCCTGATCTTGGACGCGCTCCACGAACATCCCATCACGTCTGTGCTCGTGGGCCAGCCGCTCGGCCTGCTTGTAAGACGCAACCGCTGGTACTCCACGCGCTCAAGCCATCTCGCTAAATAGACGCAGTACGTCCCGATCGAGCAAGCGGTCGCGCTCCTGTGCGTCGTCACGCTCGCCGCCACGTACTTGATCCCCAAGGTGCTCAGCCGCCTCCTGGCGCCGACGACGGACGCGCCCAAGGTACCGATGCACACGTGGCGCGAGCTCAAGGCCTAGGACCATAGACGCTTGTGCCCACGATCCGCGCCGCAGCTCTCGACGCCGAGGCCCGGCGCCCGAACGCGTACCCGCCCAACTGCCCCGTCGCGACGGCGCGCCACGGAACGACCACGGTACCTTTATGACATCGAGGCAAAAGACACATGCCGGCGTAGGTCGTCGCGTACGATGCGGGGAAGAAGGCGTATGCAGTCGAGACGTCGACGCACGAGCGCGTGACCGTCGCTTCGGACGACGTCGTGACGGCAACGGTCCAAGATTTGTACGTGTACCCGATCAAGTCGTGCAAGGGCCTCCGCCTCGCGTCTGCCGCCGTACTCCGTACGCCTGCTCTTGATGGTGGAGGATGCTACCTTGGACCTGTAGCCCACGGCTTGCAGTGCGACCGTCAATGGATGTTCATGGACGCCAAAGGCACCTTCCTCTCGCAGCGCAAGCACCCGAAGATGGCGCTGATTGCTCCGGAGGTCGACGTGACCAACGCCGAGGTAGTGAGATGCGAGAGACTGCGAAAATCAAAGCCGTTCGGCGTAGGCGCTGACGCTGACGGCGCCGGGCATGCCGTCGCTGCGTGTGCCGGTGCTGCGCTCGGGCGTCGAGCACCGCGTGCGCGTCTGGAAGGACTACATGCTCGGCGTTGACCAAGGCGACGCGGCGGCGCAGTGGGCCGCAACGTTCCTCGGGCTCCCGGACATTCGCCTCGTGCGCTTCAAGGACGGCTTCCACCGCCAGTGCGACGAGGCCTTCGCCCCAGACCACGCCACGGGTACTTGGACAACTTGTCCAATTTGCGCTCCAACGTTTTCTTAGCGTTTGCCGACGGGTTCCCGGTCTTGATTGCGTGCCAGGCGTCGATCGACGCCATGAGCGCCGCCGCCAAGCACCCCGTCGAGATGGCTCGCTTCCGCCCCAAGTACAACTTCCTCTACAAGGTTGTTGCTCAATAGCCGTATAGCATTGTCATGACGGGCGCGCCGGCGTTCGCCGATGACGTCTGGGACTGCTTTGAGATCGGCTCTGTGCGCTTCCAGAACGTCAAGCCGTGTTCGCGCTGCAGCATGCCGTCCGTGAACCAAGCGACGGGCGAAAAGGACGAGGCGGGCGCCGCGCTCCAGTCGGCGCTTCTCGCCTCTCGGTACGATGCTGTCGTAGGACGTTGCTCATGGCTCGAGTAGCAACGGCGCGCAACTGGCCTTCCTCAAGAAGCGCGCCAACGACGTACGCCACAACATTTGATTGCGTTAACGTAAGCGTCGTAGGTCTTCTTCGGCTCGAACGTTGTGACGCTCCACGGCGCGTCGCTCGCGGTCGGCGACCGTCTCAAAGTGCTGACGCTGCTCCAATAACTGTCTTAATTGACGCCGCAGCAGACGGTGACCTTGTCGCCCGTGCCCAGATCGCTCGGACAGAGCTCGAGCGAGCTCGTTCGGTAGAGCCAGATGCCCATGCGGCTGCACTTGGTGTTGGTCGTCTTCTTGCAGAGGCTCGTGACGATGGACCACGCCGCGTCGCCGGCCTTGACGGTGTAGCTGATGCCGCTGCGGCAAAACACCGAGAGCGGCTTTGTGGCTTTCGGGGGCGCCGGCACGGCCGTCGGCGGCGCCGTGTGCACGCTCTTGAACCCCTGGCGCGTGTCGAGCACTTGGCTCAGCGCCGGGTACTCGGTGTACATGTCCTGGGACGCAGTCCAGACGCCGACGCCGCCTGCTGCGACGCCGAAGGTCGTGAAGCTTGCGATCGTCGCCATCGTCAGGTCGGGACCCCACGACGCGCTGCCGGGCGCCGAGACGACGATGTTGACTTTGGAGGACCCGAGGAGGGCCGTCCACTTGGCAAAGATACCGTCGGATAAGAGCGCGGCCGGGTACACGAGGCTCGCTTCAGCTTCGTCTTTGGCTGCGTTGAAGGCAAATACGTTGACCCAGTCGACGAGCGCGACGAGGTCCGACGGAAAGCACTTGGACTCGGCGCAGACGCCAGCGTCGGCCTCGAAGAGGCGCGCGTCGTACGTGAGCGTGAGGTTCTCGGGGCGCACGACGTTCGACAGCGCTGTCATGTAGGCGACGACGCCGTCGGCCGTGTAGTTGGAGGTCGCGTCCGACTCGTCGTGGACGGCGACACCGTCGAATTCGAACTTGTCAAGAAGCGTCGAGACACCGTCGGCGACCTGGGCCGGCGGCGATGCAATGAGCTCGGACGTGTTGACGCTGTGGAGCCCAACGAGCACGTCGACGCAGCGTCTAGTACGCAATCAGATGTGGTGCGATGAGCAGTGTGCGTACTTGTGCAGCACCGAGAGGCAGGCGTTCACAATGTCGTCGGACGCTTGGAGCGACGGCGCGACGACGCCGTCCCGTCCGACAGTCGCCGCGAAGAGCACAACGTGCGTGACGCCGTCGGGAATCTAGAGATGCGTGACGCCTGTCGTATTGCAGGCACGAGGCGCACCGATTCGCAGCCGGCCATCTCGGAGCTCCAGTACGCGACGACGCGCTTACCAGGCGCAACGCTCGAGCAGTTGGTGGGCCGCGTGTTGCCTGCATCGTTGGCCGAGGGCGCGACGTCGTCGAAGGTCGGCGTTGGCGACGACTTGAAGACGCCGCAGAGAGCGAGGATACCGCAGACAACGCCGATGAAGACGACGACTACAGACGCATTAGCTCTTGAGGCAGCCATCGTCCTTGCCTACCGCCGGCGACCCGCTCAAGCACTCGGATGCGCTTCATGCTTTCTCGAATATAGCCAGATTGTGTCACATGCTTGCGCTGGTCGCGAGTTTGCCCGAAAAAGGTGCTGTAAGTGTGAAAAAGGTGCTGTAAGTGTGAAACAAGGTGCTGTAAGTATGATAAAAGGTGCGCATATCAGCGAGAGCGCACCGAATCGTTATCACAACACATGGTCATCGGATTTGCTCGAGCGACTTACGCATCTCGTCACGTTGAGCTACGGGAGAGGGTTCCCATGATGACTGTGGCGCCCGGAGCTCTTGACGTGGTCCATCGGTCACGCCCTTCTGAGCTAGCGGCCTTGTCGGACTCATTGGGAGCTTGGGATGCGCTTGGGTCGGAGTGTTCCACGGGGGTGGAATGAGTCGACGCCCAAGCAGAGACGACAGGCGCTTCGTTCGTCAAGAGCCAACGACTTCAATTTGTCGCGAGATGCAAGGCCGCCAACGTTGGTACAAGGCCACGCGGGTGACGACCCCCCGCAAAAAACGCCGTGTCGATCATCGATGCGGCGGATGTGGCGCGTCCACTCTCGTCGCCTGCCTCCCATCGACTCGCAAGTATTCTTGACACCAGCTGGTGCGTCAAGATCGCGCCGATTGGCCAGTGGACACGATGGTGCTGACGACGAGCCGCGTGCCCGCGTCGTGCTTGGACGGCGCCGAGGTGATGCTGGGCATCGACGAGGCCGGGCGCGGACCGATCCTCGGGCCGATGGTCTACGGCGCGGCCTACTGGCCCGTCGCCCTCGACGGCGTCATGCGCGCAATGGGCTTTGACGACTCGAAAGCGCTCTCGCACGAGGCGCGCACGCAGCTCTTTGCCAAGATCAAGGCGACGGACGACGTCGGGTACGTCACGCGGTCCATTCCAGCGGCCGAGATCGCGCACAACATGCTCACGCGCCGGCGCAACCTCAACGAAATGTCGCGCGACGCGGCCATCGAGATGATCCTCGCGGTGCAAAGGGCCGGCGTCCGCCTCACGCACGTGTACGTCGACACGGTGGGCGACCCGGGCTGGTACCAGTCCTTCCTCACCAAGCGCTTCAACGGCTCGATCACATTCACGGTCGAGAAGAAGGCCGACAGCCTCTACAAGGTCGTGTCCGCCGCCAGTATCGCGGCCAAGGTCACGCGCGACGCCGAGGTGAGCGAGTGGGCCTGGGAGCACGCGAGCTTGAAGCTCCCGGTGGACTATGGGTCGGGCTACCCCAGCGACCCCAAGTACGCAACAATTCCTCACAAACCTTGTGGCCAACCTCTGCGTCTAGGACCAAGCAGTGGCTTGCCGCCCATGTCGAGCGCGTCTTTGGGTACCCGAATATCGTGCGCTTTAGCTGGGGCACGCTCGAGTCGTATCTCGATCGCATGGCGGCGGTCGAGTGGCCCCACGACAAGGAGGTAACTACCCCTCGAACCCCCAAGTGGCATGCGTCAACGTATCTAGGACGCTCCTGCCGGCACGCAGTCGATCAAGTCGTTCATGCAGACGCCGACCAAGAAGCGCAAGCGGACGCCGTACTTTGTGCACAACCACTTGGAAGTCGCGTCCGAGCTCTAAACGTCTCGCAATGTATTACGAGTCGAGTGTCGACTGCGCCGACCCGCGCCGGTCCTTGGCCGTCACATACTCATACAAGTTGGCCAGCCGCCGTGTCGAGTCCCAGCGCTGCGCCGCGCCGTGGGCCGCGTGGTGCTTCTACGCAAATTCTTGGGTGCTGCGAAAGAAGCAGGACGGTACCTTGGGTTTGTGCTGTTGCTGCTTGGTGATGACGTGCGCTGTCCACGCGACGTCCTGCTGGAGGAAGTGGAAGGCGTACCACGCGACAGCCACGATGTTGGTGTCGAAGGCGCCGGCCGACTCGGCCAAGACCGACTCCATCTTCTTGAAGCTACACACATCGTTGGGACGCAGGAAAAGGACCGACGGCGCACCGCTCAAAGCACGTGTGCACGAGCGCAACGTTGATCTGGTCGGCGTTGAACTCGGCGAGCTTGTCCAAGAGGCGCTCCCGCACGATCTTCCACATGGCCTTGAGTCCGCCCGGTCCGTCCTCAAATGCTTTCTGGTTGGAGAGCTGCATCGGCGGCGCGTACACCTACCAGATCTGAGATTTCCAAATACACAATATGTATCTGCCAACCCAGTGCTTCTTGCTCTCGGTGAAGAGGTCGCTGCCGTACAGCACGCGCACGAGGTCGTGTGCCGTGGCTTCGCCCAGGGCGTTGGCGCCACTCGTAGCCTCCGCAAGGGCCGCCGCCTACGCGTTCACTCGAAGTACCGCGGGGTAGAGGGTGTACAACGCACCTGCATGTAGAGACTCGTGAGGCGCGTGGGGGTGAAGAGAGGGTCCATGAAGCCGAGAATGGTCGTGAACTCGTCAAATGCCAAACACCCGTCCGGTCGACCGAGGGCAGCCTGGAACACATCTCACGCGCAGCGTTAGGTCATTTCGAGTTCAACGAACGGCGTACTTGTAAGCACTTGGAAGACAAAGTGATGCTCCTCGATCCACGCCTGCATGATGCAGAGGAGACCCGACTGGATGCTGACGACGTGCGTGCGCTGGACCTCGGCGACACCGTCGGCCTCGACGACCAAGCCAACGACAAACGACTTGTCCGTGGCGGTCTGCGACTGCTTCTCGCGCACACCTACGAGCCTGTCGACACACAAACTAGAGACTAGCTTCCACCTAGCAAGTGCGAGTTCGCGTGGATGGCGCGGTGCACGGTCTCGAGCAGCGTGTTGCCGCTGTGCGCGTCCTTGTCCTTCGTAGCGACCCAGACGACGTCAGTCGACCCGAGGTTGGCGTGGCCTTTGGCGACCGCCGTCCCGAGACATGCGCGCCGCGCGGCGAGAAGGGCGTCGAGTCCGCGCCGCGGCAGCGTCAGCGCCGTCGTCCCAAGTTCCGCGAGCGCCGCAAACACGATGAGCAGATTCGTCACGTGGAGTCCCGAGGTTTCGTGGTGCAGCGAGAGAAGGAAGCGCGCGCACTCGACTTGCGGACTCGTCTTCTTGGGGTGTACATAAAAGTACAGCGGGACAAAGCTTGAGAGGGTCATGGCGTGGTGCTGCTGCTACGAAAAGCACTAGCTTCCTCACTTCGCTATATATAGACACCTCGTCGTACGCGGCGAGGAGCTGCGCGATGGTCCGCAGGAGCTCTTCGCGGCCTATGGCGACGAACGGCGCGTCGGCGGGCAGACACGCGAGCGCCGACTGGTACACGGGCGGTAGCTTGCGCGCGACGAGATCGCACAGGCACATGGGTGGTGCGAGGAGCAAGGAGCTAGATGGTGCAAATGACATCGATGCTGTGTCGTTGATGCGTACACTGCGTTTTGGCCACCAGGACCGTGGGTCTGCGTCGACGCGTCGCAGCGTAGAAGGTGCTGGCGACGGTGCAGCAAGGCCGTGAACATCTCGGTCGCGCGAAGACTGTCTTGGATCGTCGAGAGCACGAGGAGCTCAGCGTGCGTCACGCGGTGCATAACGTCGCCGACAGGTTCCTCCACCTCGACGACCTGCGCCGCCGCGTTGTCCTTGGCCTTGACGTTCAGCAAGTGCTGCTTGAGATTCTCGGTTCGCTCCGGCATCGACTTGCGTGTCGGTCGCGCATTGATCGAGTTGCGCCGACCAAGTGGCGGGCGCGGCTCGGGCTCTAGCGTCTCTTCTTTCAGGAACAAGTGCACGTAGCTGCGGCTCAAGCTCATGAGATGCCCGAGGTACTTGATGTTCTCGACGTCGGTCGCGCGCCAGAGACTGCTGCCGGCCGCGAGGGCATGCGACGCTCCATCTTCCGTGACAAGCCACTGTGGCGGCAAGCTCGCATTCGTGTGCAGCGCTTCGAGCTACCATAAAAACACTTGGTCGCGTAGCCCAAACAAGGCTACGTACCGTGAAGGAGAAGAGGTCGCGGCAGGTCTTGTGCCAGTCGCACTCCCGCTGTAGCGCGGCGTGCTCGGCCTCGGTGCTGCTCAGGACAGTTGCAAGCGCGATTGACTCTTTTGCCGCGTTGGCGGCAAGCGCGTCGAGGTCACTCAAGAGCGCGCGCAGCTCCTGCCGCCGGACGCGTAGACTCTTGATGCGCGCGCGGTGGACCTTGCGGTGCTCAGCGACCTCGGATAAGTAGTCTTGGATCGCAACGAGGATGTCGCCGAGGAGACCAAAGGCGCATGACGCGAGCTCGGCGCTGTGCACCCCGATGCTGCGAATGCCTTCGTGCAAGCACAGAATCGAGGTTGAAAACACTTGGTGCAAATTGGCCTCACGCACGTTCATGCTGGTCGTTGCCTTGGCGCCTACGAAAGCCAGTCCTCCGATCATAACTTCAAGCAGCCGACGCAGTACCGTGGCGCGCCGGCGGTGCCACAAGAAGACCGGGAAAAAACTGCTTCTGGCGCAGTTGGAGTTTGGCGCGGCGCAACATTTGCAGCGCGTCGGCAGGCGGCGTCGGCAGCGCCATCGACGCCCTATTCTTCGCCTCGTTGGTGGCCAAGAGCGAGAGGACGCTGCGGAGGTACACGGCCACTTCGAGCACATGGACCTCGGTCTTTGACAGCTCAATGAAGCGCTTGGGGGGCAGCGCCGCTGGCGACGTTGCTGCGGGCCGTGGTGACGCGCGGGGCGACTGTCTCGGCGAGATTTCGGGAATTTGCAGCCGCGTCACGGTGGGCTTTCGCTGCTGCTGCGCCAACCCTTGTAAAAACGAGTGCGCGGGTGCGACGAAGGCGACGAGCGGCCCATAGACCGCAGGGTCCAGGCGCCGCAACAGCAACTCGACCATGGCCATCGCAACGAGCCCTTTGCCCACACCATGGTACCAGTGCACTCCGTCCAGCGACGAGTGCACATGCCTAACATTATCACGCGAGATGGACGAGGACGTGGCCGCGTACGCTTCAAGAGAGGAAAACACTGCGAGTAGGTTGTTCTCGGAGGTCGACGCTTGCAGCTGCCAGTGGGGCGCGTCGACGGCGTCGAGACGCGCAACTTCGTACCCGACGTTGGCGCCCCGCGGGCGCAGGGGCAGGCCGTCATGGTCGTCCATTTGCAGTTTCGTGCGAGTGGGTTTCACTTGCCATTGATGAAATGTCGAGCCCGCCGCGCTCGCCGACGCGGCCGACAGCGCTGCCCATGACGGTGGGCCCGCGTGAGTGGGAAAAGTCGCTCACGATCAAATGCCGCTTCTGCGGTGGCCCGAAATGCAAGCGCTGCAGCGAGCACGCCGCGCTCCTCAAGACGGACAGTCCAGTCGCGGGTCTGCACGCCGACTGGGTGACCGACTCGATCTTGGGCATGATGCGCCCGTCGTCTCGCCTCATGCAGACATATCGCATCGCCGACCAGTTTCAGCGGTCGTCCTCTTTTCTTATGTGAAGCCTGACGAATTTCTTTAGCCTCAAGATCAAGGCTGTGTTTAATCTGACCATGCCGGGCGAGCACCCACACTGCGGCGACGGCAACGGGCCAAGCGGGTTTCCCTACGACCCCGAGATGGACCTCATGGCGCACCAGAGTAGACCGCTTCTCGAGGCACGCATTGGCAACTTGTGGTCTAGTTCAATTTTACAACTTTGGCTGGGAAGACATGACGTCGCCCAACTTGTCACTGATGCTCGACATTGCAACAGTCATGGCGTCCGTTTTGGCGCAGGCGCAGCAAAAGGTAGCAGCTGTCAACTCTTAAACTGCTCATAGTCCTGTAGGTTGCAGTGCACTGCCACGCTGGCTACGGTATCGCCCACGCCTCCTGTACCCTTGACGTAACGCGAAATAGGTCGCACGGGACTGGCGATTGCGTGTACACTTATATTTCAACACGGCATTTCCGCTGCCGAAGTGCGCTCTGTGGTCAACTCTGAGTCTGCGCTCAGCTACGATTGGCGTAGGCGATTGCAATTGTTCGGCGCGGGCGCCCGGGCTCGATCCAAACCCACGGCCAAGTGGCGTTTGTAGGCCGCTTTCACGACTACCTGCGGCAAGCCAAGCTCGGTACGCACCAGAAACCAGATCTGATTTCTGCAAATGAGCCCTAGTTTTTGCGCTACCTACGATTCACGACCGGTTCTCGCTCTCGACGATCCTCGAGCGCGAGCGTTTCCAGTTTCAGCCAACGCCACCCGAGACGTCGATGGTGTTGCCACCCCGCGTCGTAACCGGCTCTGTAGAAATTTCAACTCTGATCTTAGTTCTTCTCAGGTGCGCTATCTATGCTCGCAGATCGAGGTGTGGACCGCGCGCGATTTGTGTGCGCTCAGTCTCGCATTTGTCGGCCACCTGCCCGCAACGACGTACTCGATCTCGCTCTTGCCGCATCTTCAGCTGCTCCAAATGGCTGAGAGAGTCGACGTCTGGGCAGACCACGTGGTTTCTAGTGACGTGCTCTTGCCGATCAAGGCGCAAATGAACTCGGGCGAGCCCAACTGGCCCCAGACTTCGACGACACCGATCTTTGCTGGCTTGCTGCTCGACTGGCTCGAGCACCTTAATCCGCCCCTCCTCGACAGCGACGACCTCCACGACGTCGACCGACTGCGGAAGGTGCCGCTCGCGGCGCTGCGGACGCTTGAGCGCCTCGTCTGCCTTCTGCGCGTAGGCAGCGAAGCGTTGCGAACACAGTCGGCCGAGCTGCCCGTCGATGCAACCACGCTGCTCGAAGGCCTCTACGCTCGAACGGCCATGGCTGTTGTGCAAGCCCCGTCGCTTCGTGCGCGGTCGCTGATTCCTCCGATCAAGTACCTCGTAGAAAGTCACTGGACGAGCCCCTCGCCGCTGAAAGTAGCGTCGGTTGCGCCCGAGGTCAAAATCGAACCTCTCGACCCGACCAAGTTTCCCAGTACGTAGTCTGCGGCGCTTATATGTACAACACCTCACTTCCTCGTAGCTCTGCCCCCCGTCGGCACGACGCAGTCTTCGTCCCCCTCGAAATCCTCGCCTGCCAAAGTGTCACCCAGTAAAATGTCGCCGGCCAAAGGGTCGTCCACCAAATCCATGGCGCTTGAGCCTCCGATCGCATGTTCATTGGCGCCAGAGTCTCCACCAAAGCTACTGGAGAAACTGCCGCGACGACCGAGTGACGTGACGGATGCGCGTCCCATCGACAAGAGCCTCCCGTCCCCTGAAAGGCCGCGAACGCTGCCCGAGGTCCAGCTGCGTGGTCGCTCGATTCTATAAGCTGATTGGCCAAGTTGAATCAAAGTTGGCCTAGCACTCAGATCTTTTGGGTAAAGAATCGATGCGGAACCAGTTTTGGCAGTTGGATCAGCGAAAATACGTTGCGCAGTTTCGCTCGAAAAGCCAGGTCGCTCGCTCGGGTTCGACACGATGAATGTGAGCTGGTATCGGCACGAGAGCTTTGCGTGGGCCCGCAACAAGAGCCTTCGCGTTCGACCCAGTGGCGTGGCACTCGCCATCGGACCGGTCGTGCCAGAAGCCCCGAGAGGCCGACGCAGGCTGTCCTACCTCGCGAGCCTCGTCATTTGGATCACGCTCTCCGCCAACTCGCTCCTCGACCCGATCAAGACCCTCTACGGCTACTATCTCTACACCGAGAGCAACCACCGCGAAAGTGTGTGGGCGCTTGTCGTCACCAACACCTTCAACAACATCTCGTCCAAAGTCTGCTCACCGAATGGACCGTTCCTCGACTGCTACTTCGAGCTACCTGTGTACGGCACTGGGTCGCTCGCCGGCGCCACATGTCGGTCGTACTACCCCATCGATAAGAGCGACACCCAGCACATTGGCAGCTTCTTTGGCAACTGCACACTGCCGTCCGGTGAGCGCATCGACATGCCGAGCGATCTCTTTGCGACGACTCAGTGGTCGCTGCAGACCGCTTCCACCGATCGCAGCTGCCTCGCCACGCTTGGCGAAGGCGACGCGTTTCCTTGCGACTCGTACACGACGGGCAGCGGGCGCGTCATCAACTACCGCGTCAGCAAGACGGCGACGACCAAATGGTGCAAGGAGTTTGGCGGCTACTTCTTACTCAACCACCACACGGGCATTCAAGAGGTGCTTGTCGCCAATGTCTCGAACGCGTCCACCCCCGTCTTCTCGAGTCTGCGCCTCGACTACGCGACTCCAGTGTTTAGCCTCGAGGACCTCCTCGGGTGCGCAGGCGACTTGTACGTCGGCGCCACCGCCGGCCACACGACGACGACCGCGTGGTACGGCGACACGGTCGGCGCGTGGACGGCGCGGACGTCGAGCGCTGCCAAGTCGATGGTGATGACGCGCAACGTCGACGGCACGTACATCTATTCGGCGCTTTCGTGGTTCGAAGGCGCCGTGACCCAGATCGGGCCCATCTATAGGGACCTGTTTCGTTGCAGTTTGTTGCTACTCGTGACGGTGTACCGGATCTCGTCCATTTACTACCCGATCTGGCTTGTCTACAAGCGACAGGGCCGGACGTTCTGGGCGTGGGCTGCTGCGCGTCACATGGGTCTCGTCTTGCACAAGCGTGAGCGACGCAGTCTCCCGATCCTGACCATCTTGTCGCTCGAGGCGTTGCTGAGCACGGATGACATTGTGTCCAACTGCCAGCACGCCATTTACACGGTCCCGAGCTCGTATTTCTCGATCGTTCTGACGTACATGTCGATCACGCGCATCATTTGGCCCTGCGCGTTCTTTCTCCTCCTCTTTTCCCGGCTCATCGAGTGGACGATTGGGCCGCATTTTGCATTTGCGCTTTCCGAAGACCTCTTTCTCCTTGGCGCACCGGTGGTTTGGATCTACCTCCCGGCCTACGTCACGACGCAGGGCATGAAGCTCTTCCATGGCTATCGCTGGAACGGCGTTATTGTTCGCCACTACGTGAGCAGCATCCGAAACGTTTACTCGAACCAAGTCAACAACCTGGCGCTCTACACTCAGCTCTTTGGCTACTTCACTGCGATCTCGTCTGCAACGACAATTGGCGTCGGCTGTCTCTGGCAGGCTGTGACGCACACGAGCTCGATCATGAGTTACCTTCTCTCGCCGCACCGCAGCGCGTGGCGACACACCCCGCGCGAGTGCAAGACGATCGAAGACGTTTTGATCGCGTCCTCGGAGCGACTCCCGCCCGAAATCGCGTACCAAATCACCAAAGCCAAGTGGCCGCAGACCCAACAGTGCGAGGCCATGAACCTCGCGTCCGAGGGACTCGTCAGCCTCGTCTACGGTCCGTGGCACGTCGTCGGCTTTACCGAGTGGGGGTTTGTGTTCCCACTCACGAATGCAAAGGGCCACGCAGCAGTCATCGATGGCTGCACAGTCCAGTTTCGACCCGACGTCACACATGAGACGCTCGCAAGTCTCACGGCGACGCCGGCTCGCCTCGGGATCCCAGACCTCATGTAGCACTGTGTGTAAATACGTAAGCTTAGTACAACATAGGACAAGTGGTTCTAGTGCTGTAGACCGCGCACGATGGAGTAACTTGGCGCTCCGTGGTGTACAAATTGCAGCACTCTACCAAGTATCAGCCTTTTTATTTTTGACTGAGTTGGGCCCGGCATCAACGCATCTCTGGTGCGACGGGTTGCGTGTTGTTGTTAGTCATATTACTCGGACATCCGGTTGTAGGATTCAAGAAGATATGTGCAGCGCCAGCGAGACGCGATCCTGGATGCTTGCTAAGATCGCAGTGCCATCTTAGAGGCACAGCGCACTCCAAACTAAGATCGTAGAACTAAGCTGGTAATAGCGACGATCACCCTTTCCTCTGGACCAAGAAGGCTATCCATACACGGAGCAATATTCATGCAAAATACTACATCCAAAACCCTTGCATCCTGTGGAGCGATTGGGACGCGAGACTTGGAGCTACGCGAAGGTCGCTAGCGGCTCCTTCTCGAGCTGCAGCTACTCGGCCGCGTCCTTTTGCAAGACTTTGATCTACTCCAACATGAGAAATGAATAGTGAAATGGTGGTCTACGCACCGCTTGGCGGATCAAGTTGAGGTCTGTGAGCGGCTTCTTGGCACTGACCGCGCGCGCCATCGACGCCATGCGACTCGACTCGTTGGACGCTTCGCGCTCCAGAAGCGTTTCAAAGGGTTTCTAGCCCGCTTCAACGTCTGGCAACGGCTACGAGGGCTAATTATACTTACGAATGTGCTTCTCCTGCCACTTTGAATCCCACACTTTCTCCGAACGACGACATGGCCAGACTGCTGCCGACGTCTATCAAGCTTTGCTTTGGCCTCACATATCTCAGTGCCTCGATGGGCGCGAGTCTCTGGTTCCTCGATATCATCGGTCCCGGCCTTTCCAACGATCACTTCTGGCCCAACTTTGACCCGACGTCGGCCCAGACATACCTCATCGACGTCTTCCACCGCCACCTCAGCGTCACCAACGCCTTGGTGATTGATCTCTACGATCCCAGCCAAGGCATTCTAAAGGCGTACGGTCGAGCATCGACGACAGCGTTTGCAAAACCCACCTACCCTCGACTACGCTCGCTGGTCGAGTACACGTCGGTTGCTGACGCAATCACTGGGTTTCAGTCACTGGATCCCGGCTACGTCTTCAACCTCATGACGCTGTATTGCTGGGCTGACTTTGGAAAGCGCTGGGAAGTTGCTCACACAGCAGCACGGCAAGCCCGATGCGCTGCGACAATGTCCAACAATGGCGCCGTGTACCTTGAGGCCCACCTCCGCAATCTCAACTGGGACGCATGGTACGCGATCTACGGCGCTAGCTTTGAGTTTGGTGTCGCGGACGCGGTTGTAGTTACGCCAGACGGCCGCGAGTGGTACCAAAGTCTACCAAACGCATTCCAGACTCTCGAAAACGAAGTAGCGTACTGGACATCGCATCGCATTTCGCGCTTTCAGCTGCAGTGGAGCAATGACTACCAGTTTGGTTTGCACGAGTCCGTCTCCGTCGTCAACATGCTCGGGTGGCGCCAAGACCTCACGATCCAGTCGATTGCGTTTGGCAAGCGGAGCTCCAAGTGGTCAACGTTTGTGCTCAACTGGGCGTTCTACGACGATCTCTGGGCCACCGCTGTCACCAACGGTAGCCTCGTGCGCAGAGCCGTCAGCTACATCGGCGATGCCACCATCGAGGTACTCCTCGGAATGTACCCGTTCACGCCCGCCAGCATCCTTGCCCACAACCAGATCGGACCGCTGCAGGCCATTGACATGATGTTGATTGCACCCCCGACGGCGCTTGTGACTGCCTGTACAAGCTATGACGTGGCCGTGACCCTAGCGCTCCAAGCCGACCATGCGCTTTTGAGTCTCTACGCCGCGTTGCCATCTTTGGTGCTGGACCCGATACCTTTGTCGTGGCAAAAACCCGAGAACTACACATTCTTTGGTGGCAGTCCGTTCTGTCTCTTTGGCGCTGGTGCACCCTTTGTACAGCCATCATTTTCCTTTGACGACACGTGCGGTAGCCAGGTACCAAGTCGCCTGCTCGTGTCGCCTTGGCCCGGTTTGTTTGCGGCGACAAGTCTCAACTTGCTCGAAACATCGCTCAAGTCGTGCTGCACACCTTGCAGCGCTGCGACGCAATTCTCTTGTGAACTGCTTGTGTCGAACCTCCAAGTCATTTCGACTTTGCTGCTGACCAATGCCTCACTCGAGAGCCTCTTGGTGCCGATGGTCCAAGCTGCCACTGGGGCTATTCAGCAGCTCAACGTTGAGATTGTTCAGTTTGCACTGACATCAGGAGGAACTGAAACTGTCTTGCGCCAGCCGCTGCTGCGCGATGGCGCGTGGTCGTTCATGGGCTATGTAGCGCTACACGAGTGGGTCAACGGTTTCCGGGAGGCTGTCTCGTTCCAAGGCGACGTCGCAACGTTCAACTTGATATCGGAGCGCATCGAGCCCATTCCGTTGCGCGCCAACGCCATCGAAGTGCCACATAGCACATGCAACTACCTCTACGTCGTCGCGCTTCTAACGTCGGTCGCGCTTGTTGCGGTCGCGTGCATCACGGCAGCGTACGCTTTCCTCCAGCCAACTCCGGATGCCGACGGTCTTCATTTGCCTGTGTACAATCAAGTTGCGGGGCCCGTCTGGGTAGGTCGTCCATTGCTGCTGCTTCGCGCGGCCGCAGCCATCACAATGCTGAGTACGGCGCCGCTGAACTTTGGCAGTGACGATGGCGTTGCCCGCTTTCGATTTGCACCTCGCCCGTTGACGCACGTTGGAATTCTCGCAGGTGAAGCTGCGTGGGTGACGTACGTTCTCAACGATATCTTGCTGGTCGCTGCGAACCAGTACGCTCGGTATGCGGCGCCGTTGAGCAACTTGCTGGTGTGGCTGAGCCTCGTTGTGCTTGAGGTCTTCTACCCGATTCGAGCGACGGCGGCAGTCGATCGCGGCTGCACCCGCGTGGATATGGGAGCTGTCGTGACGTGCCACAGTGGCTCTGTCGACCTCGGTTCGATGGCCCGCGCCTGGCTCATTTTGGGCATCAATGGTATTGCAATCGGGCTTTCGTACTGCATTGTGTGGGGCTATTGTGTGCTGAAACAAAAACACCTGGATGACTCCGAGCAGACGCCCCTCGCCCGCATGGTGTCCGCGGGCGTCGAGGCGTTCTTAGCACCTAAGGAAACCAACATGTGGAAGCTAGATGCGTCAATTGCGGCCATGACCGGCTTACTTCGATTCCGCTTCCAGTCGCTCTGCTGCATCTTTGATACAAAACTGTGGCTTTTCTACTACGATGACGCTGGCCCGGTCCATATCAAGCCACTTATCAGCCCAGAAGAGACTATGCTAACGATGGCGGGCGCTGTTGTCGTCGCGAGCTCGCGCTTTGCCAAGCTCAAGGTCTGGAGCGGTCTACTCTACCTGGCTGCAAGTGTTGTCGGCAGCCTCTCGTACCTAGAGCTCTCTGGTGTGAATTTAGCGAATGATCTCTATTGGTCAA